GATGACAGATGCATGGCGCTCTTCGGCTGTAGTGAGTGATTGAGCGATCACCTCTCATACACATACATTTCTGGCAATACGGTAATACCGGAGAGGTGGGGGCGGGTTTCTTTTCCTGATGTTGCAGAAGAAGACTCTTTGACGGAATGAAACGCGCGCCAACCAGCCCTCTTTCTACGTTGAACCACTCCAGCATGGTCATGCCACATGTTGATTTCTTTGCCCATGTAAATGTATTTATCGACTTCTCTCTTCACCGTTTAATATTATCTTGGCCTTCTGCAGGCATCTGATCGTTATATTTGGGATTTTGGGAAACCCGTTTGTTTATGCATATATTATCGAATTTCTCTGGACAAACTACTGTTTATAATATTGGCTGAGCTTACAGTGCCTTCCAAGTTCATGTTATTCAGTATCAATTTCACATTTTTCCCTTTAGTCGTGATGTTAGTAAATACATCCAGAAACGCATCTTGTAGTATTTCGATGACGATATTACAATGCAAGGCCATGACGTTTCGAGAACCATATGTAAGATTTCGGAGTTATTTCGGTGTGTCCGTGGATTTCTTGGTCGAGATAGCTGCTGCTACGCTGAAAATTCGATAGGGCAGTTTTCACTGACGGTTACGACTTTTACGGTTTCATGTTCCGATACCAAACGGGCTACCGACGTTTAAAACTATGCACCTGACTTATAACGTTTCGCATGTATACTGTTTTGGGACAAAACAGTTGTTGAATGTTAAGATCAAACTCTCGACCATTTAATGTTTTTTTAGCAGAGTTCATGATCTTTGATGAAGGATTTGCATTTTTATCTTTCTTGTCGCTGGTTGCTACTGTCACTAACTAAAGATCTACAGGCACAACTCAGTATTACATGCATTACGCAGATAATGCAGTGCTGATCAGTGAAGGCAGAGAAGCAGCAGAAGCAAAAACCGAGGCATGGAGAAGAGTCCTCGAGAAAACGGCCTTCAGATCAGCAAAGTCAAGTCTGGATATGCAGCAGGCTATTTCAGTTGAGCGAAC